GGCCCTGTTAAAAAAAAAAAAAAAAAAAAAAAAAAGAACAGGGCTTTCCTCATATTCAAGGAATTTCGGGTTTAAGCCATACCTCTGCAGTAAGGAAGCCTTAAGCACTCAGTTATTTTCATGTTAAATCATAAAAACTCACCATTGTGTAATTCTATTTGGTACCCATAATACCATGATCCAGTTAGGAGAGTGTCCTGGATAGCAGGTATTTATACCCATAGTCAATATTAAGGTATTAATTCCTTCTTGTATACAAAGAAATAAACATTCTGGTTTATGAATAAGCTTTTGTGAGTTTGCTTAGAATGAATTAATCTTCCAGTGCCGGATAACCTTGATCGAACTGCTTAAAATCCAGTTCCTGGGGCTTCCCTGGTGGCGCAGTGGCTGAGAGTCCGCCTGCTGATGCAGGGGACGCGGGTTCGTGCCCCGGTCCGGGAGGATCCCACATGCCGCAGAGCGGCTGGGCCTGTGAGCCGTGGGCACTGAGCCTGCGCGTCCGGAGCCTGTGCTCCGCAACGGGAGAGGCCACAATAGCGAGAGGGCCCCCGCACCGAAAAAAAAAAAAAAAAAAAAAAAAAATCCAGTTCCTGAAACTGTAATAATGAGGACCAGACCTGGGACCTGGATATGGAAAGAATATAATTCTTTAGTCAATGCAAGATGTAATTAGCTCTACCCTTAGGTGTGACCATGTTGGAGGGAGCCATGCCCCATTTAGTTATCTCTATAGGCTATAATAGAATGTGATGAACTTCTTTTATATGAGAAGCAGATTCCCTTTTATAAACTGGCAAATCTGGGTTTGTTAGGCCTGAAGCTTGAGAAGAATGTAAAAATATGTTACTTTTGTAACTTTACAAAAATATTCAACAACATAAACATTTTAAAGGTACCTCTAAGCAAAAGGCCCTGAAGTTTAAAATAACCTGTTTATATCCCACAGGCAACCAAAAGGATAAAGACTAAAAAACTGGATTTGGTGACTAGATAATGCTTGAGAAAACAATTTCTAAAAGAATTGAGTTTGAAAGCCAACTGTAAAGGTGGCATAGGGTATTCAAGAATTACACATCCCTGGTGGCCCAGTCCTGCCCCTCAGCCCAGGCCTCCCACGGGAACCAGGTTATACCATACCATGTAGGGAAGGGGGATCTATTCACATACCTCAGGTAATGGAGGTGTGCGGATGGGGGAAGGGACTGCGCAGATCAAAGGCTGCGGGGTGCGTGTCATGGGGATCTTGAAAGGCTTGAGGATGGGGCTACTTGGGGGGATGGCGAGGAGGCAACCTGGCAGGGGACAAGTGGGGGACCCAGCCGGATTGAGGCCCTGGGCCCCAGGTCTGTACAATACGGTTTGCTATAAAACTCAAATCTTCTGGGGAGCGGGGGTGGGGAGGCAGAGAATTACACATCCTGGGTAAAGTCATCTATTGATACATGTTTGGTGAAGAGGAGGCAGTATTATGTAGAAGCGAGATTGGGTTATTGTTTATTTTAAAAAGAAATTTTAAACAAGAAAATCTTTGTAAGGAAAAGGAACAGAGAGAGAGGGACTTTAAAGAGACAAGAAAAGGAATAATTAATGAAAAACCAAGGAAAGGTAGTGAAGAGAAGGTGATAAAGTATGAAAAGGACTTAGCCTTGAAGAAGTTTCTAGAAAAGAGGAAAAACAGAAAAGTGTAGGACAGACACATTAGCTGGCTTAGATCTTCTCTAAAAAAAATTTCTGCAGGAAAAAAGATAATGGTGAGATTGAGGCTCAAGGATATGTGAGCAGAAATTCCTTGAAATAGGTAGTTATGAAAGAAGACATTTTGATATGAAAGGAATACGAAATAGTAAAATGTGCCCACTTGAGCATGGACACCATGAATTTACAGTGAAACCAACTGACTCTGTTTCATAGGACTTGGCATCCTCAGGTTCAAGAATGCAGAAAATAGGGGCTTCCCTGATGGCGCAGTGTTTGAGAGTCCACTTGCTGTTGCAGGGGACACGGGTTCGTGCCCCGGTCCGGGAGGATCCCACATGCCGCGGAGCGGCTGGGCCTGTGAGCCGTGGCCACTGAGCCTGCGCGTCCGAAGCCTGTGCTCTGCAATGGGAGAGGCCACAACAGTGAGAGGCCCGCGTACCACAAAAAAAAAAAAAAAAAAAAAAAAAAAAAGAATGGAGAAAACAGACAGTATGTAAGCTACTTAGAGAAGTGGTAGTGCAAGGAGATTAAACAAAAAAGTTAAGAAATCAAGGGTGATGGAGAAAGCACAATTGAAATGGTTTGCCGTGGTTCCAGCTAGATCAGAAGATAAATTATGACAAGTTAACTAATAAGCTGAAAATACAGGGGCACTGAGAAAATGGAGCTCATCATAGGCATGAAGAGTTAAGTTTAATGGGAGTGAAAAAGGAGAAAAAGTTACTGTCAAAGAAAGCAAGTTGTGAATTTAAGATTTTGGAAATGGCACAAGATGATGATGATGAGCTCTAAAGAGTGGAATGTTTGGCCATTCCTTTGGGTAGCTGAAGTTTATTGAAAAATGTCATTGGAACTGAATTCAAAGAAACTTGAGGTCGCAGTATGAAAAGTCATAAACTTTTCCTAAAAAATCGTAACATGAACAAGTGAGACAATACAGAAAGAGGTTGAACTGCACATTTTAATCACTAAAGAAAGTGAAATGTTCTAAAAATCTAAAGAAAACACTGTGGGAGTGTATGAGACTGGCAACAAGAAAGCCTGGAGAGATGGCAAAGAAACAAAGGTTAAAAAGAGACTAAGGAAGGCTTCCCTGGTGGCGCAGTGGTTGAGAGTCCGCCTGCCGATGCAGGGGACACGAGTTCGTGCCCCGGTCCGGGAAGATCCCACAAGCCACGGAGCGGCTAGGCCCATGAGCCATGGCCACTGAGCCTGCGCGTCCAGAGCCTGTGCTCTGCAACGGGAGAGGTCACAACAATGAGAGGCCTGCGTACCGCAAAAAAAAAAAAAAAAAAGAGAGACTAAGGACCATATGACCCAGCAATTCCATTCCTAGGTATAGACCCAAGAAAAATGAAAACATATGTTCATACAGAAACTTGTACATGAATGTTCACAGCAGTACTGATATTCATATGAATTGATTTCATAGTAGACAAAAAGTGAAACTCAAATATCCATCAATTGATGAATGGATAAACTGTGCTATATCCATACAATGGAATATTATTCCCCCTTAAAAAGGAATAAAGTACTCATAGATGCTACAACATGGATGAATCTTAAAAACAGTATGCTGGGACTTCTCTGGTGGTCCAGTGGTTAAGACTCCACGCTCTCAGTGCAGGGAGCCCAGGTTTGATCCCTGGTCAGGGTACTAGATCCTGCATGCTGCAACTAAGAGCCCACATGTCACAACCAAAGGAGCCCACATGCTGCAACTAAAGATGCCACATGCCACAACTAAGACCTGGCAGAGCCAAATAAATAAATAAATAAATAAATAAATAAATAAATAAAATGCTAAATGAAAGATGCCAGGCACAAAAGATCACATATTATGTGATTCCACCTATATGAAGTGTCCAGCATAGACAAATCCATACAAACAGAAAGTAGATCAGTAGTTACCAGGGACTGAGGGGGATATGGGAATGAGGAGTGACTACTAATGGGTATGGGGTTTCTTTTTTGGTCACACTGCATGGCTTGCAGGATCTTAGTTCCCTGATCAGGGATTGAACCCGACCCCAGCAGTGAAAGCACCGAGTTGTAACCACTGGACCACCAGGGAATTCCCTGGGGTTTCTTTTTAGGCTAATGAAAATGTTCTGGAATTAGTAATGAGTTATACAACCTTGTGAATATACTAAAAACCACTGAATTGTACACTTTAAAAGGGTGAATTTTATGTATGTGAATGACATTGCAATATAAAACAATAGACTTACAAGAAGATAAGAAGTACGTAGCCTGCCTAGAAATCTTTTTTCAGTAAATTTATACATTTTAGCTTAGAGTAGCCCAATTCTCT